CTCTCTCTCTCTCTCTCCCCTCTCTCCTTCTCTCTCTCCCTCTCCCCCCTTCCCCCACCGACCCTTTAGTGTCTTTTTTCTCTTGTCCTTTTTTCGTCAACCTCTATTGTCCTTCTCGCCTATTATTTCTTCCTTTTTGTCTTTCTGTCTTTCCGCCTCTCCCTCTATCCGGAGCAACCGTTTTTCCTCCCTTCCATCCCTTCTCTACCCCTTCCTCCATTCTTTCTTCCTTTCCGTTGGCCCTGGTCATTTATTTTGCTCTCACCGATTGTCTATGGGCGTTTTGTTGGTGTTCTGTCCGAATCTGTCCGTTTTACTTCCTGTTGGTGTCTCTGTTGTCTTTTTGTATTTCAGACCGAAACATTTTTACCTGCTAGTCAATAACTGAATATCATTTGCAGTGATGAATAGTTTCTCAATAAAAAGTCTCAAGCGTTCTTTTTTATTTTGAGAGTGCCGCAGACAAAGATAGAGCGATCAGCACTCTCAACAAGTCTTTTCCGTGCTTTCTTAACCTGGCGAACGTAGAATTACGAGACAGCTTTCAAATCCTCCCTCCTCGATCGCAAATCTCTTTGCGAGAAATTGAGTATGACTGATCGAACCCTTTCTGACTCCTTGTATTAATCTCGCCACATTGTTTAATTTTGCCGCCTCGCCATTATGAATGTAATAACGGAGGAAGAAGCCAGCCCGCTAAATCTTCCCCTCCCATTCCCCCAATAATAACGTTCGTGAGGTCCCGATCTCCATTTTCCCTCCCCGGGCCGGCAGGGTGTCGGATCTATACCGGCCCGTTGCTCCCCCCGCCCCCCACACGCCCCCACACGTCCCCCGGCGCCCCCTAGTGGACACGACCAGTAATGCGAGTCCCGACGATGAGTAGGCAAACAAGGAAAACATGTCTTCGTGTCAAAAGCTATGGGCACGGGCCCTGTGTTCATTGATTTCCCCGGCTTTGGCCGCCCTGTCTGGGATCTGGCCCCTGCTTTCAGTGCCATCAAATCCCCGGGCATCTCGGCAGCCATGCTCGGAATACAGTACGGACGCTGTTCTTGATTGATTGCCGTGCGTCCGTGTCTGCTTTATGTCTTTTCTTGTCTCTCTTATTAGATTGTATCATCCCCCCCATCACATTTAGCGGCTAACCTAATAGGATTTTTTTCCCCGGGAGCCTGGGATTTGATGACAGGGCTCAATAGAGTATTACTGTCCGTCGTGGTGGCCCTTGTTTTTCGGTCATATCCAACGAGGAAATGACTTACAGAGCTTGACTGGCCGGGCATCCAATGTACTGGCTTCCCCATAAACTAATTTCCACCTCTTTAACATCGGGGAGGGGGCTTGGCTGCTTCTCACTGTATTAGGGTAGTTGGCTCGAGAGCGTTGCCTCTGACCACCGTGTTCTGTGGGACTCAGGCCCCGAGGCTGAAGAGCCTACATCTCGTGACATCGACCATTAAGTTGGGGAGAGAGGCGTACTCACACTCTCACACACATTAACACACATATGCGCTCGCGCGTACACACACACACACATGCACATACACACACACATACACACACACACACACTCACACACACACATGCACACACACACACGTGCACACACACACACACACACACACACACACACACACACACACACTAATGCTGTGCTTTCTTTTCTTTTGGACTGATTCGCTTTTAGTACCGGTAAGCTTTAAAAAAAATGTCCCTCAGATATTTCACTTGGCTTTTGTATAGACACGACACTTCCTTTGCTCTGTTACTATTCACTGCATAAAATGCTTTTATTTCTTCATCTTTCCTTTCTTTTTCAGATGGAATTGCAGTATCACTCTATTGGAGAGCAACCTCTTCTACTGAAGGACAAATTCCTATCTTTGAATGCTTCCCTGTACAGTCTGCGCCAGCTGCAGCCTCTGCTCATGGGCGGTGTGATGTTCCAGCTTCCGTCCGGGCTGGGGGCTCTCCTGGCTCACCAACAGGACATCAACACAACAGGCACACAAGTGACACCTGGGGAGCTGGACGTGGGCTACGGATGGGATCACGACTGTTTGCAGACTCGGGCTTTCTCCTTCTCACAGAATCCATTTGCGATGGTGGAGAAAGATGCAGATGTGGTAAGTTTCAATTTATTATAGACTTACAATTTGTTATCCTCTTGTCAAAAAGTATGGCAAACATGAATGCTGTGTGCTCTATATAGGGGGCTTCATATATGATACAGATATTGTAAGTTTCAGTTTATTATAGATAACAAATTCATTATTCTCAGTTACAAAGTATTACAAACATAAAAGCCTTGTGCTGTATAGAGAGCCTCTTGATTGAAGGGGAGGAAAAAAAGAGACTTAAGAAAAGACCCCCCCCCCCCCCCCGACCCCCAGCCTCCTCCTTTTCCCATGCCACAAAATTGAACCTGTCCAACAAGTTTGGTATGCTAGCTGTTAACTGTGGGTGTGGCATGTAATTACCTTCTTCTTTTCAATTTAATTTTTGTTTTATGTTCTTTTATTTTATTGATAGTTGTGTGGGAGGGAACATTTAATCATTGGCCCCCACCTCTTAAATAACCATACCGTGTTGACAGAGGCTTCCAGTCCATGCCCTACCTCCACCATTGTGTGTTTTCTTCTCTTGAAAATAATAACTCTTAGATTTAATCAACCTTCCGTTCTCGAGTGCAGCTCGTTTCTAAATTTATCACCAGGACGCATTGTTAACGTGTCAAATGAATTGGCTTTGTTGAGTGCTTTAGTTACCTTCCTAAAGTGTGAATGTTTCTCCAATTAACAAGGACAGGCTGTAGTATTGGGCAAACACTGGAGGCAGTGGAAGGGGGGGGGGGGTGAGGACAGGAGGCATTAATTCTTGTTATCAGAAAGGAAACAAAAAGAAACTAACCGAATAAATCATTAAAAGATTGCTTTGAAAATGGGTAGACACTTTTTCCTTGTGGGCTGGCCCTTTCTTAGATAAACCTGTTTCTTGATACGCAAGGAATGAAGTCTTTGTGAACCCCTTGCCCACAATTTTATTACTGTGAGACATTGTTTTGATTCAGACTAGTAACAGTGTTTCCTATTTGAGCGTAAAATGGTAGGGCCAAGCACTCTATGATAATAACCTAATTAGGCTTGTTAATCTCAGGAATACTGAGCCATATTGATTAGACTCTCCCGAACCAGTTGTGGGAAGGGGGCATTGATCCACACCATTACCACAATTTGTATTGATTTCCCTTGTGTAGGTCTCTTGCTCTCTGTCTTAGTCTCACGTTATCTGAAAGCTATCAACAAATTGAATGTATGTGACTGGGGGACGCAATCTGGAGTCTGCAATCTGCAGGCTGGAGAATGAGGGGAATACAAGTGATACATCAGATGTAACGGAGAATAATAAGACAGGTTGTGAATTCAGCTCAGGAGCAGGGGTCATTGTTTTACATTGTGTAATCTAAAAAAAATGGGAAATAATGGGTTTATTCATGGAACCACTTCAGAACCAGCGAAACAGGCAACTGGTTCCTTTTGTATGTTCTCAGTTTTCTTTTTCTCTCCTTTATGGGTGTCTGGCCCCAGGTTATGTATTTCTCTGTTGTTTGGTGTCTAGTCATCTTCAAGAATTAGGTTTTTGGGGGTTAGGGGTGGGGGGCAGGAGGGGGAGGGTGTGTGGATGTTACTGTTGAATTCATTCCATCTCTATAGATGCTCGCTATGAAGTCTTTGGAAAAGAAGTATACCATATTGTTGCTGTTTGAAGAAATATAAATAATTTTGTTCCACTCAACTGTAGAGAGTTTTTAAAAATATTTGAGTCGCTGATTTTTCTTGAAACAGCAATGATATGTATATACTTGATGAGTCATACAGTGATGTAATGTGTGCTCTTACATTTGTCTGTGTTCCCAGGTGGAGTCAGAGCTGGCATCTCTTGATCTCTATGACTGTACAGGAGAGAAGAAGCTGAAAGTTGAGAATTTGCCTCAGAAAGACTCAATTGACATTGTCATTCCTAGAAAAATTGGCTCGGTAAGTCACAGAAGTGTTAAGCTCTTTTTTGTCACTGGAATCACTACTGTTTTTTTTTTAAGCAGTAAGAGCTGAAACAAGATATTTAATCTGCAGCCTAGGAAAATGTACAGAGACCATTTGAAATACATTATTACAACTGTATTTTTCAGGGGTTAATTTTTTTAGAATCCAAATTTGCGTGCACCGTGAATGAGTTTATTAACATTAAATTAAACCTGAAAAACATTCTTGGAATTACTTTTATAAAATGTTATTGAAAAAAGATAATGTCATATTTTTTTTAAATGATGGTGTGTGAAAGCTTAAAGTTTCCTTTATGTTAGTCGGTGAAATAGACTGTCGTGACATCGTGACTTGTGTCACAATACCCACTGCTGCTCTGAAGTTATCCTTTATTTGATATATCTCAGTCTTCATCAGAAAGTTTAAGAGAAAAAAACTGGTAGTTAGTGGCAACATAACCAAAGGTAGGCCTATAGGTTCCAGACAGACTTGGTTATTTTTGTCCGATTGTAGTCTGCAGTCTGGCTGATTACTGTACTAAGGTTACCATATTTCCTATCTACATTGTAAATAAATAAATGTCATGGGGCATTGCAGTCAGCACTGCATTTCAATTGCCTTGTTACTTGAGCAAAGTTGTGTGTGTTATTTAACTCAGCTTTTCTAACCATGGTTTTAGTGACTTCAGTTTATGACTCTTGTCTGCTTTTGATCTGTGGCAAAACAAGAATTAATCAGCAATCTTTCTGTAACTGTTTGAATGTACTTCTAATCTTCCTTAGATCTCTGTTGTTATCGCTTCAGCAGCTGGCAACCTGTGGGTCTTGCCCTTCAGCTCAGCACAGTATTGTTGTGGTTTCTGTAGATGTGCTGCAGCTGCTTTGGTCTTACAAAATGTATTTTTTACTACCAGCTTCAGTTCTCCTGTTTTGTTCATGCAGGGGACAAGTGCTCCACTTTTGAAATGACTCACAGTTTTCGTTGTTTGGTGTTGATTTTAAACAATGACAACAGCATGTTCAGCAAACAGTTTTGTTCATGTTTCTTCAGGCTCCCACCTGGAGCAGGCATTATCTGGACAAGACGGTGATGAACATCCACCTTCTGAACATCAGCCTGGTACCGCACCACTACGATGAGCCAGATGACCATGTGAGGATGGAGGACAAGTACTTGCACATACATATACAGCATGAGCCTGTGCAACAAGGGACAACTTTTCCTGTCTTAGTCATCATAAGGTAAGGAACATAAAGTGAGACTGAACACTCCTTCTTTGGTTGTTATTTCGGTATGTTGGCTTTTTAGTCTTAAAGTATTTATGTGTTTTGTCTTTGCATTAGTGAGGTCAAGTGGGTGGTTGGTGGGTGCTCTGGTGAGGTTTGCTTCTTCTTTCCTGTCAAACATCTATTGTCCTTATCTCCCATTCTTTTTTTATATGTTTGTTACTCTCTTGTAACAGCTTTAATCTTCTGGCGCTCATATGACCTTATGCAGTTTTGAGCGCCATGAAACTTCTGCTAAAACTAAACTAAACTAGTGAGGTCATGAGCATCAAATAACTTGAGTGCTATAAATAGCAGGCATGTGATGATCATGTGGAGATGGGATTGTAGCCTCCAGTGGCCATGTGAGATGGTGATTGCGACAGGTGCCACATGCCAAAGGAGTGTAAATTGCAGTTTGTTTTTGTCCGACTTCAGTTGCAGAGGGAGAATGGAGATGCTTTCCCTCAGGGTGTTCATAAAGATTATTCCTTCTGTTGTTGGGAAGGAAGTTGGTTTTGATGTCTCCTCCCCATCATGACATCATTTCAAGTATTTCACAGTGGTTGTATTTTTGTTGTTGCTTTTTTCCATGCTTCTTTTCTGTGTATCTTTACCAGTCTTTTTTTCTGTCAAGAGGAAAAGTTGACCTGCATCATAGATAATCTAACTTGAGTTGATGGGTTGTAAAGCATTCTCAGTCAGAAAATGATGTTGGTTGTGTGTTTTTGTTGTGTGCCCTCTTGTCAACATGCCAGAGATACTGGTAAGTGACTTACTCAGTCCCAGAAGCCTAGTGTGGATGTGTGAGGTGTGTGTGCCTGAAACCTTGGCTCAGGCCTGTTATTTCAGAAGGTGAGCAAAGTTTCAGGTGTATTCACCTTGCACACTATCATCAAAGAGTTCCACACACCGATGCACTGCAGACCAGAAGGTTGGGTTTTTTACCTGTGTGTTGATTTTTGTAGTTCTGTTTGTTCCTTTTGGTGGGATAGCAAGGAGTACATGGACCTGTTGAGACATCTGTTGCTCCAAAGCATGAAGTCAGGCCCATCCCTGAAGACTGCTTCTTTCTCTGCTAGTACTATTGTCATGCAGAAATATGTTCCAAATTGTGATGCTGTGAAAGATCTGTCGTGCAGTTGTCTTGGTTTTTGCTCCCTCAGTGTGCAGCATCTCTCTTTCTGATGTTGGGTTCCTACACCACAATATGGCCTTTTTAACTGTTCATGTCTTCTTTCAAAGTGGTTTCAGATTTCTTAGCTATTTCTTCCAGTCCGTTCTTTTCTATTTCTAAAGCCACAACTTCTCCAGAGTTATCATCTTCCTCTTTTACCGTCAAGATTTCAGTTTTGTGTCTGTAGTGCTAGCAACCTGTGGGTCTTGCCCTTCAGCTCAGCACTGAAGTGGAGATTCTTCCTGTAAGCTCTTCTGTAAGCCATCTTAGTACTTGTGGTTACTTTGTTTTAGCACTTGCAAATTAAGCGTGGGTAAAAAAGTGTTATCATTTTGTGTTCTTTGATGTGGAAATTAAAGATATTGATCAAAGACATGCAAATAAAGTAATGGTTGCGTTGGGAGAACCATAAAAAGAAAGGTATCGTGTTAATGGTAATTAATTGCAAATACAGGTCTTATTGATTTTCTTGTTTTTGTGTTTGCTTGCAGCTCTCAGCAGCCTCCACACAACCTACAGAATCATGTGTTTAAGCAGCAATACAACGCATCGACGGATGAAATAAAAATATATCTGCCAGCCGGGTCACTTCAAGGTAGGAAGGAATTTTGTACTCTAGCTTCAAATCTGTCTGGTCCTCATGTATTCTGTTGAGTCTGTAGAGGGGAAGTCATGTTGGAAGTAGCAAAGGCTTTTATAAAAACTCCTGAAGAGACAGGATGACACAGATGAGTGCAGAAAGTTAATCATTTCTTTGTGATAGCACTTTTTGGCACTTATTGGCTTAATTAGCTTCTAAGGAATAATCAAAGCTCTCATCTCCATTGTGTGAATGTCTAATAGATGATATAAAAATCATGTTGCCCATGAAGCATGTTACCTCGGTTTGATATGAGGTATTCATAGAATACAGAGGTGAAAATAGATGTTGAAAACTGCCCTTAGTTCATATTTCAAGCAGGCTAGTTCCATATTGTACATGGTGTACATCAGTATGGGCTGTTCTGTTTTGGGGGCCAGGGCACAGTTTTTGTTAAGGTATGTGAATTAATTTTCTTCTTTCCTCCCCTCCCCCTCACCTTTGCCCTTCCATTTCCCCTCCCCCTTGCCCCCTCACTCCCCTTTCTTCCCCCAGTTATCCCCCCCCCCACCATCTTTCTCCTTGTGTTACACTCCCCTTCCTCCATTTCTTCCTCCTTTTATTATCCTTTTCTCCTCCCATCACCCCATGCCCGACATTGTATCTTGACTAGTGACTGCTGGTCTAACATTTTTCTTTGTGTGTCCCTTCCTTTGTAAAGGTGGCCAGCCGTATTACGTGGGCCTAGTGGAAGCTTCTTTCAACTCGGGCCGTCGACGTAGCAGCGAGGTGGAAGGTCGCCACTACACTCTGAGCTCATGGTGGGGTACTTGTGTCTACTGGAACCAGACTCAAACAAAATGGAGGAGCAATGGCTGTCAGGTCTTGCCGTCTTCTAGTGTGGATGCCTTGCATTGTCGGTAAGTCCTTTTTACTTCTTATTCAAACTTTTAAAAAATGATATCTGTTAGCCCCTGTGCCTGTGTGCTTCAAAGTTGTTATGAACAGTTTTTTTGGTTTGTGTAATTGCTTGTTGTCTGGGACTGTTGTATAGTTAAATGAAATGCTTGTTAGTCTTTTTTTTGTGTAAAATATACGCAAAGATAAGAAGAATACTGACCTTATCAATACCATTTAATTATAACCTGTAATGATATAGTGTTGTGGGCATTTACCTATGGAGAGAAATGTTATATTTTTAATTGAACAGTTTTTATGAATTTGTAATAGATACTTCTCTCGTATGTGTTCTTAAAACCTCTATGAAAATACAATCTTTTCAATATATTATGTTCCACAGATGCAATCATCTGACCACTTTTGGAGGCTACTTTGAACTCATACCAAATGATTTATCATTCACCAGTGTGGAAGAATTCTTCAGGTAGGTGATCCACCTTCTAAATAAAAACTGAGTGAAACTATTTCAGTATACCTGTCCTTTCTCAAATTGTTTGAATTTGGAATGAATGCACTTAAAAAGTCAAGACTTTTGGAATGTTCCCAGAAATTTTGTCACCTCCTTTATGTTGTTGGAAATTGTAAGGGCAGATCTTATCTAGATATTGTATTTTTTCTGGTGTTACATTCTAAAACACTGAGATGGAGAGAAGAGTGTTTGTCAGTTGCTGTTTTTTGGAGGGGGGGGGGGGTAGAAACCTGAGTTTTGTTTTCTTTAATAAATGTTCTTGTTTGTTGGTTCTCAATTGTTATTTGAGTTGGCTGTCGTCTTGCACACGGTCCAAAAAATCTGGAAATCTGGATAGATTGTGGGAGGAAGGGGGAGGTGCAATATGAAGCATTTTGTGGGCATGTGGACAAGTAGTAATATGAGTTGCAAACTCTTCCCCTTCTCTCTCAGGCTTCATGAGAACCCGGTGGTGGTGGTGTTGGTGGCTCTGGTGCTGCTCATTTATGTGATGCTGGGCTCCATGCTGAGACACTCGGACCTACATGACGCGCGCAAGGGTAGCTGTGTGTACCTCCAGGACAACACGCTGACGCACAGGCAGAAGTATGAGGTTGTCATGGAGACAGGATTCAGCAGGAATGCAGGCACCACTTCCAAGGTCAGTGAAAGATGGATGTTTGTGGAGGAATGTTGTTTAGGGGATAGAGAGATATAAGTGGAAGTACATGGCTCATATTTATGTGTGAAATGTTCTTCTATAGGTGGTATTTATATGCTCACAGTTATGATTATCATTTCAGTGTTGGTTTTGGCCAAAACTGTGTTAATATTTCCTTGTGCCAGAACATTAGATCAATAACAAAAACTGTAAGTGTTGCTTTGAACAAAGGCACAGAAATTTGTTGATGACCACTGGTTATATTTGATTTATTCAAAGGACTATAGTGGGTCCATGAATTTTTATCCTCAAATTAAATGAGAGATTATTGGCTCTCTAGGCTGTCTTTTTCTTTAGTATAAGACTCACCTTTACATGTATTTTAAATAAACAGTTTATCTCTGACTTCTTAATGATTTTAGTTTTGGAACAATTTCAGACAACTTTTAACTGCTGAATTTTGGTACCGATCTCATACAATGTTTGCAAAATATATCAGTGTAGTTGCTTTGTTTTCAGATCAGCATTATACTTCATGGAGAGGAGGGGATGTCTGAGACCAGGGAGCTTATCAGTGAGGACAATCGGCCCATGTTTGAAAGGAACTCTCGGGACAGATTCATTGTGACGTAAGTCCAGAGAACATGATCCTCAAAAAATGGAAGAATTTTGAAACATAGATTTTGTACTTCTCCTGTGGCATATGTTACCAATGAGTGACCAATAACTCTCTTTGTTTTGTGCTAAGAGCCAGAAATCAAAAGTTCACCCTGGTGCTTATTGGTTGAGAGAATTTATAATTTTTAAGAGGCATTTGTTTCTATGATCGGCATGCATTCCTTTTGAAAGTCCAAAGACTAATGTAAAGAGCTAAAAGATTGTTGTTTAAGTTCTGTTTCTGTTTCAAGCTGTGACTTGATAGCCTAATGTAAGCTGTCTTTCCCATTTGAAAATAATACGTTTTATATATCACTAGTCAACTCTACGTTTCTAACAGCTTTTTTATCAGACAAACTGTATGCTAGATGGCTCAGTTTAAAAAAAATCTTGAACAGTTGTTGAAATCGATCTTCTGTACAGGGTAATTTTAGCCGACTTGGCTAATTACTGTTAAAGTAGCAACAATTTTTTTTTGAGTTATTCCCCTTTCCCTTCCTTCTATAATGCCTGACAGCGAAATTTTCAATTGCTCTTCCCGTATGTATATTCTTTTAAGATTATCAATAAGTTGGAACATTTTGTCATATCTAGTAACAGATTATTATAATTGTCAGTCCATCCTTTACATCCGTGTAAAGAAAGCCCACGAAAGTCTGGTGCTTTCAGGATTAAGTTGTGTAGAAAAGGCCATTAAACATATTCTCTCAGTTTATCCTTCATTTTAGTCACTTTTAAGGAACAGAACCTACATTTGGTGCTTCTTTCATCAAAGTGTGTCAATAGCACCATAAAACATATTAATGTATTGTAACTGTCTGACTAATTTTCTATTTCTTTTCAGTCTGCCGGACAGCCTGGGTCGTATCTTCAAAGTCCAGCTGTGGCACAACAACTCGGGCTCCTCGCCGGGCTGGTACCTGCGGCAGGTGGTGGTGCGAGACCTCAGCGCTGGACAAGCCTTCTACTTCCTGTGTCAGAGGTGGCTGGCCGTGGACAAGGACGACGGCAAAGTGGAGAGAGAGTTCACCGCTCTTGACAGCAAAAACATCAGCTTTGTTATGGTGGGTTTGCCGATCTTTGTCTTTAGATTATTTGTTTGACTAAATGAGAAGTACATGAACTGAATAACAGAGATTTGTTCACAACCCAATAATTTAGAAATGCATTCATCTATGTCAAAAAAAGAAAATACAAGCATATATCTAACCACCTGCCCATCCTTTTCTCTTTCTCTCTCTTACTCTCCCTTTCTCTCCCTTTCTCTCAGTGCCCCCCCCTCTCTCTCTCTAGCTCTCTCTCTCTCTCTCTCTCTCTCTCTCTAGCTCTCTCTCTATCTCTGTCTCTCTCTCTCTAGCTCTCTCTCTCTCTCTCTCTCTCTCTCTCTCTCTCTCTCTCTCTCTCTCTAGCCCCCCCCCCCTCTCTCTCTCTCTCTCTCTCTCTCTCTCTCTAGCCCTCTCTCTCTCACCCTCTCACCCTATGTACACTCATGATCACACATAGTGATCTAACACGCTATAGCTCGTAGAGCCCCCTCCTACCTCACAGCACTTTTCTCTCCCTCAGGTGTTCTGGTGCAAAGGCTCTCAGTACGTCAGTGACTTCCACACCTGGCTGTCTGTCTGGACCTGCCCACCACACAGCCGGTTCACCCGGGTCCAGCGTCTGACCGTTTGCCTCACCCTCCTCCTGTCCTACATGTGCCTCAATGCCATGTGGTTCAGGAGAGCTCCTGGCAAGGTGAGAGATTGTTTCCTTCTTTAGTTTTGGCAATAAAAGTAGTACAACTAATAGATGTGATAATAGTAATAGTGATAATGATAATTATGATAATAATATAACTATTGAAATACTAGTTGTAACAGTAATAATTATAGTAATAAAAATGATAGCATCAATCATAGTAATATCTGTTTTGGATTGTCATTGTTATTTTTCTTCTTATTATTATTATTATCATCATCATCATCATCAATATTATTATTATTATTAGTTAGTTTTGTTTTATCTTTTTAGATCATTGGTCCAATGTGCGATTCAGCTTACCTAAATATTTAAATAAGATTTTATTTTAGCTTATTCTGTGTATGTTATTCTTTGTGAATTTCTGTGCAGATTCGGGGAGAGTTTGGCCTCCTGGACTTGTCCTGGCACAACATCATCGTCGGGTTCATCTGCTGTCTGGTGGTCGTTCCTCTCAACCTTCTGCTCAGTTTTCTCTTCCGTCGGAGTAGGGTAAGTTTTATAGTAGGAAAAATTGTCGCTGTTGAAGTATGGGAGCGTTTTATGTCTGCAGACCTGGTTTGGGGAAAAAGGGTTTGAAATATGTGATATTTTAAACAGTTGAGTTGAGTTACTGCTGTTGTATTCAGTTTTAGCTATTTTATTTTTACTTCTGTTTTCAAAAAGTGCAGAGAAATACAAGAAAAGACTATAACTTACTGTAAGAGAAAATCAAATTTTGTGAAAAGCAGGCACAGCATGCATGCCTTCAACTGTTTGCGGAAATAACAAGCAAATTTGAATTGTAGAGACTGTAGCAGTAAAGTGGCAAAGTAAGAAAAATTTTGCTTTATACAGAATAGGGCCTATAGGTCTGTAGAGGGAGCGTGCAGTGTTAGTATTGATGCTAAATTTGTCTGTGCCTAGTGTCAGACGATCAATAGATTGATTTTCCTTACTGTGCTGACTACCTCCGACCCTCATTACTGGCTGGTTCTATTGATCTGTTGTGTCTGTAGTGACTAAAGGCTCAATCAGCTCAGTCTTGGAATGTAGGGCTGGAACAGCTCATAATTTGTCAAAAGGTTGTAACATTTGTTGGAAAGAATGAACTTCTATCAAAATGCAAGCGTTTTGAACTCCAGTAAAGAAAAAGTTAGCTCTTTTTTAATGTGTGTATTTGTTCATATTTTCTTTTTCAATGATCTAAGTGTGTTTAGTGTTTAGGCATGACTTCAGTTGTGGTAACATTTGGTGTTGGTTCAGGAGAATTTGGTTTTAGTCCTTTGTGAAACGTTCTTATTGAACTTTGAGGAATTTTATGATCCCGCCGCCCCCCACCTCCCAGCCGTTGTTCACTCATATTGTATTGGACATTTAATCAGAGATCAGGTTCTTAGATAATGTAGCATGATTGTCCCGAAAGGGGGTTAAAACTGCTATTGCATATTGTTAAATCATACAGCTTATTAAGTTAATGTTTAAACATCATAAGCCCACAAGCTAGTCTCTGCCTGTGTTTTTCTTATATTATATACCTTAATGCAATTCTTGTTTCTCCAGGTGCATTACCCAGGCTATGAGCAGGACAAGGTGCTGGTGAGCGGCAAGTGTGCTGGGGAGTTTGTGAGCGAGGGAGAGGAGGAGCTGCCCCAGTCCACCGTGGCCTACTCCATACTGGACCAGTCCATCATCAACTGGCAGAACATCCAGGACTGGGCACAGAAACAGTGGCTCAAGAGGCAGCAGTCTGTAAGTCTCTCTCTCTCACTGACATTGAGTGTATCACAGTTCTGTTTATTTTTGCCTACATGGGATCAGTTTCAGTTTTTAGCTAATGTTAATATTGTACTTAACCCTCCATGTGTTCTGAGCCAATAACCTGTGGTTTCAGGGGAAATTAAGTGATTTCACCATATTATGTTGGCAAATGCTTGAGAACAGGCAAACCAAGAAAGTGAAGGCCAAAAACCTAGATATTTTCAGATGAAAGTAGGATGTAAATAGGAAGTTACGCCCATTTGTGGTGGAGTTTAAGCACTTGGCGATATTTAAAAAAACTACTTACAGCTGATTTAATAGGCGGTTAACACTCAGAGGGTTAAAGTAGATAGTGGTTGTAGTTACCATTTACTTTTAATTATAATTTTCTAAAATAACGTTAATTTGTTGTTAGTAATAGTAACAGAAGCCAGAGTTTAAATACTGCCATGATGAGTTCTGTGAGAAATACTTTTCTGACAGTCTCACCTATCAGGACTTCAGTTGATACTGTTCCATCACAATTGATGCTAGTTTCTGTGCTTCACTGGTCTTCTTTTTTATCATTCAATGATAGGTCTTAAAAATGCATGCTAGACAATCTAGGATATTCTGAGTGCAAGGACATCATCAATGTTTTACACACTATTGAATCATCTTTTGTCTATTTAGATTTTGCATTTTGAGTTTGCTGATAGGCCCTTCTTTTCTTTTTGAATGCCACCAAGAAACATTTGTTTATATTGGCATTTCTCTGATTTCTCTTCCCTATATCCAGGTGCGGTCCAGTGCCAACAGTGTGAAAACCACACAGACGAGTCCCCAGCTGTCTGCCCCGTCCACTACACCACTGGTTCAACAAACTCTGCTGGCAGGTGAGATACTTGATCTGTGAAAGGCAGATAACTGACCCATCTGATTGTGAACATGTAGTGACACATTTTTGCATGATTACCCTATATTATGACGTATCTTTGACTTTAAAGCAAGTTGTATTTGTGGGAAAATATTGCTCCAAGTTCAAGATAAATTAATCAAGTTCCAAGGATTCCTATCTGACTGGTAATGTAGAAGAAGTTAAAGGTTTTTGCTTCATGTGTGTGCAAGTTGACATGTTCGTTTGTTTCAGGACAACATATTGTGTAATATTGAAGTATAGTGTGCTTTTTCATTAAGTCAATGGTAGAAGTCTTAGCACATTGTCATTGTATTTTTTTGTCAATGTTGTCTAATGATGGTATTGACCTTTGCAGAGGACGACACCGACCAGGCCTCCAGCGGCTTTGAGGATGCGACCAGTCAGGCCACGGCTGAGAGACATCGCATCAAAGCAGCTTCAGATGTCAGCTCTGACGGGAAGATATCCAGGAATGGTGCGTTCACATTAAACCCTTCCCAACAACAATCATGTTTATTTGTTGCTAGAGTTGTGATATCGCTGAGCTGATTGCTGAAGTTCAGTAGATGCCGTATTGTCCTGAGCTTAGATCTCAGCTATTCTTTCATTACAGCAAGGTTAGTAATTCTGAGTCAAGATGGGTTTTCCCCCCTGTCAAGGGGCTTTCCTGTTAAATTTTTGCTTGACGTCATTGACTTTTGCTTGATGCTTGTTACTTAGTTGGGTTTGTACATGATCATTATGAGATTTATTTATGAGACTTCTAAAGATTGATGGTTATTACCATGATAAGTGTATGCTTTGGTTTGTTTTGTATTACTTTCCTCTGCATTGAATTGCTCACTTTGTCTATATTTCCATTGTCCCCTCCTTTGCAGAATCCCCCGATCTCCAGAATTCCAGTCGCAGAATCTTTCTCCCATTTTGGTGCCGTTATGTGGCTTGGACGCTGTGCTTTCTGATCAGTGGCACTTGTGCTGCTGTTACTGTCATGTATGGTTTCAGGTGAGTAGGTTGCAGTGATGTTTGCCGGTAATTTATGCTAAAAGTATAGCATACTGTATTTCTTGTATTATCAAACTGGCACGAGGGCATTCCTTGAGAGGGGGGGGGGGGTTGCAAAAACAATACAACAATACCATGTTGGACAGTTTGTTCCACTCTGCATTGTTGAATCAAACCATGTTGGATAAACGCCTGTGTAGGCTCAATACCAGAGAGGAACCTTTTAAAGATGTTTCCAAAAATGATGATCCTTAGTCAAATGACATGCTGTCTTTTTAGGAGACTGAGTACTATTTTGGATAGTAAGAATCAATGAGGGTGCACATTTCTTAGCTATGACCCTTTGCCATTTTCTAAATAAAATAAACAATTATTTGACTTTATGTCAGTATATTGTAGTTTCAATTCTATTATCGTTTTATTTCTTGGCTCTGTTAACTCTGTTGTTTTCCTTTGTCCAGGTTTGGCCACACGAAGAGTGCCATGTGGGTCCAGTCTGTTTACTTCAGCTTCATGATCTGTCTGTTTATCGCACAGCCACTAATGGTAGGTACTCATGCTCACCGATATTTGCTACCCTGATGTGTTTGTTTGTTTGTTTGTTTGTTTAGTATAGGGTTTGGTTTTACGGCGCTCGCAACTGCATACGGTCATATGAGCGCGCGGGACACACCTAATACTTTTTCGTTGGTAGGAAATTCTGATGTGTTTGTGTAGTAGTACTTCTATTGATGCCTAGAGTGGGGGGGGGGGGGGGGGGGGGGGGTTCTTTTGCCAGGGAAGAATTCATGCAACTTCTCTGATTTTGAAAAATACCAAAACCTGAAGCTGGCATCTCTATATTAATAAACAACTAGTTTTCTGTCTCATGGTAGAGTATTGCAGAACTTGACCATTCTTTGTTGTGCTGATAATGACTTTTTAATGTTGACCTATTGATTTCCAATATGGTGAGTCGAGTGTATTTAACTTTCGGGAGATGAGATCTGTATCAGTTGATTGATTTTTCTCTTATATAGCACATGTAATGTAGTTGACATGGTTTGTTTTCTTCTTTATTTTCCATTGTGAAACAGATTCCTTTAAAAGGAGGAATAAACTGACAATATATTATCATCTTTTCTGTCTTCCAGGTCCTCCTGAGTGTCCTGTACACAGCACTGACCCACCAGAACAACCCCAGCGTGTTTGACCACTACGACGATGGCTTCTACGGGGCACAGGTCTCATACAGTCACTTGTCCAAACAAAACAGCTACCTGTCGGAGGAGGAGGAGGAGCTGCAGAGGGTGAGTCTTGTTGTAGAGACTAGTGTGGTGTGTCCCAGAGGGCACAGCTAGTTGTAGTTGTATCTGGAAAGTTGCTCCTTATTGTTAATATCAGGATGTAGACGTTTCCATCTGAATACTGGTGGAAGGTTTTTTGTTTGAGTAAAAGAAACACATGGACATGATGTTGACTATTTGTTTTAGTAAGAGTTTTACAGCGCTTGCAGCTGCATAAGGTCATATGAGCATGCATTGGCTATTAAGTGCACAAGAAAAATCAAGAGAGGTGGACATAACAGCTGAGGGAAAAGAAGAAAGTAGGATCCACGAGCAGGGCCTGACAATCTCCTGATCATATGTTCTCTAGAAATAAAGGGACAATAACATTGTGGAATATCAGAGATGGGTTCGACTTCTATGGTTTCGGCCCTTACATAATATCTGAGATTGAAAAAAGTGTTTTATAAAATTAACTAAATCTACAGTTACTGCCCCTTGCATACCAGGTACACTGTGGAGTTCAAAATGTTTATTACAATGTGGTTTTCTTTTTTTTTTTCTTTTATATGTTCTAAGCTAATTTTTAATGCACAGTCTTCCCGTTCTTTTTCAGTGACATTGTAGTGTTCAAGTCTGCCTTCCAGCAGTTATATATATATTTTTTAAATTTGTGCATTAGTCTTTTTGTCACCATTTCCATTGTCACTACAAAAATTTAAAAAAAAAACATTCATGCTGTATAGACCTGAAGTAGGATTATGACATCATATTTTCTTTGTGCTCCAGGGTGTGGCGGCAAGATCAAGGTCAAGGTACCTGCGTTTTGCCGGGCCTCCTCAAGAGAAGCAACTCAAGTCATCCAGGAAAGTCCTCATCAAGCAGAAGAGAGCACTGATTTTTCTCAGGTTGGTGTGTTGTATTTTTGTAGAAACATTGGTAACAAAACTGTCTCTGATTCTGGCGTGTTTTTCAATGAACCTAGTAGGCCTAGTGAAGACTCTGGATGAACTAAAATTTACAGTTTGAAAATATTTTTCTGCCAGAATATTTTTGCTAATGACACAGAGCATTGTTGTTTATCTTTCATGGCAGAAATTTTAAAGGAGTGCAAAGATTTCTGAGATTGATTCCGGAGACAAAGATTGAAAAGTGTTCAAATAACAGGGATACGAAGACAAAGAATAAAAAGTGTTCAAACGACAGGGATATGTCTGTCTGTAATAGTTATTTGTGTTGTATTATACTACGAACTGCTGTAACTTCATCTATTTGTGATTGTGACTAAAATGAAGTTTGTCTAATGTTATGGTTTGGTTTTATTTCTATATTTCAGGGACTGTGTGTCATTTGTCTTTATGTTTGTCCTGCTGTGTTTGATCACGTTTGGGAAGGATGGTTCCAATCGGTATAACCTCAACAGTGCCCTGAGGAAAGCGCTCTTGGAAAAAGGGTGAGTGCCATTTTAAATAAGATCACACATGCATTATTTATCCTCCCTTAAAACAAAATTGACTCCTGCTTTTGCCAATGAAGATGTAGGCACACAACTGTAGCCTACTTAACACAAATTTATAAAAATAAAAAAACATATCTGTTGGAGTTGTGGAATATGGTATGTGTAAAGTTGTACTGTAGACAAATGGACACTTTAGAACTAGCTTGGAAGTAATATTTGTGTAGCTCACAAATTATTTCATCCAATAGTATAACTGAAAGATCTGTATACAGTTCTGTTAGTTTGTTCCTACTTTGATTAAGTTTAAGATACCTCCAGTTAGAACAGACATTAAAAAATTCTTAAATGGAAATGCTGCATATACTGTTTTTGATGGTTTGTTCTCTTGTTTGGAAAAATGTGAAGGAAATGTGTTCAAGTCTGTTGATTGTAGTGGATTTTGTTGTATGAGAGGCATGTTCAGCTGCTGTAGTTGTGTTCCTTCTGCAATAACATAATGTTTAACAATCTCACTTTGTTTGCTCCAGGGCCGGAGGAGTATCGTTTGAGCGCCTGGGATCTCCGGCCCACTGGTACACCTGGAGTCAGACAACGCTGCTAGATGTCCTGTACAAAAACTTGCCCGGGGATAAGGTGAGGACTAGATACTTTATATATTTTTTATGTTTGTACGGTAGTCTCTCAAGTCGTTTTCATATTTTGTAAATGTTTTGTACTCCCATCTACATATTGACTGTTCAGTATATGAATCCATTATAAGATAGCCTATAAGTCACTTTTCAAAATTGGTGGAGTCTTTCACTAAGCAGTCGATATAGTTTAGCTCATTTTGGAGGCAGTATGTCTCCGCCTTTCTTATAGAGGCCTACCTGCATTGTGTAGGCTGCAGCCCAGCCCAGCAGGAACACAGAGAGATTCAGTTCCTGTCTTTTCCCTGTGAGAATGGAACTCAATTGTAAAGAGAGCCAAAAATATGATCATTATAAGATGGACTGATATCTAAAATCATTTTTCTTTGGTCAAGTAAACTTTACAAAGAGTCTAAGCCCAAGCCTTTTTTCTCATGTATAAAAGATCAGTTTTTAAAATAACGGAATAACGGGGGTGGGGGTGAGGTCCAAGGTTGATAGTAAAATGTACTTAATCTTTGTATTTCGTTGTCATTCCATTATCTCAATAAACATCACGTTCAATTCGTGTTTTCCAGTACAAGCCTGGCAGTAATAAGTTTGGCAGCCTGATAGGTCAGGTTCAGCTACGTCAGCTACGGGTGTTGCCTGAGCCCTGTCAACGTATGCCGTATATGGAGCTGGACCAGAGCTGTATCTATGCCTACAACTACCGCAAGTCTGACCGCAGAGATGCAGGACAGTCGTGGTCATTTGTGGATAGCAGGAGCTGGGAGGTGGACCCTGGCCTGTGGGGTCAGGCTGGCTGGTACGACTCTTCCGGCCTTGTGCTCAGCTTGAACCGCTCCAGGTAAAAATGACGTTTTTGTAAAATATTATATTGTTCCAATGTGGAAATTTTGGTTTACAAATGGGTAGTGCAGTAAGTGGGTACACTAGTTCACCAACTTTTTGTCACACAATATCACACCAGTACAGATAATGTTACATAGCTGGTTGCAGCATCCTGTTTTTGAGTTTGTGTTACTGTGTCCATCTCAAAGACACTACTCAGTGATCACTCCTATGAATGCTGTATTATCAATGTTGGATACTCTACATTATTGTGGGACTGAGCACGCTAACTATTCACCTACTGGCGTGCCTGTGTTAAACCTGTGTTTTCAATTGACATTTTTGCTCATTCTGAGCTTCTGTTTAATTTTCTTTATTTTAAATCTTGGTCTCACATATTTTATTACTTTTTCAAAACACCTTGCTCGTAGTGTCCTGAATCTGAAGTAAAGATTAGATTTAAAATTGATGGAAGTGAAAGGTAAATTTATGATTTCTTTTATAAGAAAAGAAATGAAAGTGAATTGTCTTTTCCTGTTCCTTGGTGAATATGACCTTTAAAAATAATTTCTGATTTATCTCCCTTCCCAGAGCTGTTGCAGAGAAGCAGTTGAAGGTGCTGGAATCCCAACACTGGCTGTCTGTGCAAACCAGGGCTGTGTTTGTGGAGATGACTCTATACAACGCCCCCTCAAATTTATTCAGGTATATACTGTAATATATATGGTCAAACCTATTTAGGTAAATAGATAGTTCACTTCTCTAATTTAAGTGTGGTAAAACTGTTGAACTAGCAAGTAAAGTGCAGACTTTTTGAATATTTTTATTTTTATGACTCAAACTTTTTTTAACTATGTAGTGTTGTACTGTTCCATTTGAAATTTTACCACATTAAGCTTGCAATTCTTTTTAATTGAATCACGTCTGTAGTGATGGTTTGACAGATTTTTTCTCTCAACTCAAGAGAAAAGTTTCTGAAAGCTTTTTTTTAACCGGATAAAAAAGAAAAAAAATCTTAATGAAAAGAAAGTAAGGCTATATTGTGCTTTTTATTTGAAGTATTTTATGAGTTTGTCCCTGTTTCTGTACTCTTGCAGTTCTGTGACAATGTTGCTGGAAGTGACGCCGGCAGGAAAGATCTTCACTTCTGTCACGGTCATGTCGACGCATGTGTTCCGCTACGTCACTATCTGGGACAACATTGTGCTGGGCTGTGAGGTGAGTGTCACGACAGGATTCTGCCCGTCAGCTGTCTCAGTATGCTCTTGTTTTGGTTGTGGCCGCCTTGGTGCAGTTAACTTGTTCTTTATTTATTGTTAGTGTTATCATCATCCTCTAATTTCTGGAATTGAGAGACACAAGATATTGGTTGGTTGGCAGGTGCTCTGGAGTGGTTTGCTCCTTCTATGCTAGCAAACATCTATCTCCCTTTTTAAAGATATATGTTACTATCTAATAACACATCTATTCTTCAGCACTTATGTGACCTTATTGTTTTGCAAGTGCCGTAGAACTCTTACTTAAACTGAAAAGACACAAAATGATGCTTCAAAGTGCAGAATGTCCATTTTTTCCTGCACTCACTGAAGCCAACTTCTACAGGGGGAGTCCGAGGGGCGGTGAGAAAATGTTGATTAGTTTGTGTGTTTAGAAAGGAAAAAAAGGTTCGATTTGACATATCTTGCTTGAAATATCCAGTGAAATGAGAAATTTTTAAAATTTGTGTACAAAAAAAGTTTGATTTGAAAGCAAGTCAGTACATTGCTTCTCCTACTTGTTCCTCAGCTGCTGTACATTGTCATAGCTATGTGGATTTGGTGCCGGGAGCTCAAAGTCATGATCAAAATGGGAAGGTCGTACTTCACACATTTTTGGAACTTCATTGAGGTAAGTGCTGATGTCAAAGATTTTGTCTGTGGATAGTCTTATGTCAGTGGTAGGTCTTACTGCTGTAGTCTCCCTCTGACGTTTTTATTTTCAACTTTTTCCTTAGCACCAAATGAAGGATTAGTGTCAATGGAACTCTCTGCACTGTCACTTATGACAATGTAGATCTTTGTTTTTTTCTGTACCCCTGGTCTTTCTACGGTCATTATTATGCTGATGTGCTTCCTTTCACTCTGATAAACTCGTCTAATGGTTCCAACTGCTGTACCCTCCTTTTGTGGTTTCTGTCATTTTGTCTTGCTTTTTTCATAGAATTGTGCTCTGGTGTGGTTTGCTCCTTCTTTCCCATCAAACATCTATCGTCTTTTTCTCCCCTACTTTTTTGTGTTTGTTACTCTCTTGTAACACCTCTATTCTTCGGCACTTATATGACCTTATTGTGTTGCAAATGCCTTAAAACACTTACTAAAACTAAAACTTTCATAGAATTAAATGACTATCATTGTGTTTATGGCCTCTCTTTACCTCAGTGAACTCAGGTTAATTCACTGTCCTCGTGTGTTTTCCTCCCCAGCTGTTTGTGAGCTGTACCTCCATGACATACGTCGGCTGTTACGTCTATCGCTTTGTGCTGGTCTCGGAGACGGTGGAGTTCCTGCGGAGCACGTTCTATGAGGAGTTCATCAACCTTGCTTTGCTGACCTTCTGGGATGAGGTAAGCCACTGAAATGCCTCTCTATTCGTCTGTCTTTCTACAAGTGTGAGATTTTTTTGGGGGGGCATCAAAGCCTTGTAATTAAGATAATCAAAGTAAGATTTAAATCCCTTCTGTACAAAATTTATGCTAGATGTTCATGTTAAATATCTCATTTCAGAGTTACGCCAGTGGGTGGTTGGCGGGTGCTCTGGTGTGGTTTGCTTCTTGGTTCCTATCAAACATCTATTGTCCTTATCTCCGCGTCTTCTTTTTTATGTTTGTTACTCTCTTGTAACACCTCTAATCTTCTGGTGCTCATATGACCTTATGCAGTTGCGAGCACCGTAAAACCTCTACTAAAACTAAACTAAAGATTTACGCCAATAAGGTTCATTTAGAATGGATGTTCCCTTAAGGTTTGTGTTATAAAACTGTCATAAGTATTGTAATTGTAATGCTCAATGATTCTGTGGGTTAGGCCTACCTATCCACCTGTGTGTAAGTTTTGCAGGGAAAGGAAGGGTTCAGGAGAAATTAGGGGAAACGACTGAGTCTGACAGCCAAGGTGTTTGCAGCTCGTTTTTTTTACTCATTTCTCCGTATTTGCTTCCTCCTTCCAGCTCCTGAGAAACCTGCTGGGCATGCTGGTGTTCTGTGCTATGCTGAAGCTGTTGCAGGTGCTGCGCTACCATCAGCTGTTCTGGCGGCTGCAGACAGTCTACCGGAGGTGCAGGAAGGAGATACTTACTGCTGGTGTAAGTTTACATTTTTTTTCTCTCTCTCTCTCTCGAAGAAAATTTTGTTTGAAAAGTTTGCTTTAATTTAATCCAACAACCACCTGTCTAAGACAATCACCTGTTCATGGACTGAGTAAATAGATGCATCTTGTTCTAGCAGTAATGCATTGAAATTTGAATAATAAAAAACTATGTAATCTAATCCAGTCTCTTCTGGACAGGCTGTTGTATCTTTGATAAAAGTGCTTCCCACAGGTTTCCTAGAGTTCACAAAAATACAAATGAGGGTATTTATATGGTCGACTAGATAGGGGCGAGGGAATTATACTGATTTTGTGTCTTAGAAGCTATGTAGTTAAGTGATTGGAAATATGCGCCTTTTTCCCTTCCCTGCAGGCCCTGTACCTGAGCCTGGTGATGGCCTTCTCCAGTCTGAGCTGTGGCCTGTTTGGTTCAGTGCTGCTCTGTGTGCGGTCACTGTGGACCAGCATGTTGACCATCTCAGCGCTGTCCGTCCGGGCGGTGGACTGGCCCAACGCCATCAACTCTGTCTCTGACCAGGCTCCGTGGCTGCCAGTTGTCTTCTTGTTCGGCTACACCTTGTGCCATGGGCTCGTCTTTACCTATGTAAGTTTGTCTGCTAGCAGATGTGCCAAATGGTCAGCCAGCTGATTAGATGAGATAAGCCCAAGATTTAGAATTTTTTAATTTTTATTGCAGTGTCTTAATCTTTGGTATCAGTTGCAAGTTCTTGAGAAATATTTTGTTGAAATTCAAATTCTAAATGCTGAAAAATGCAAAAAGAGTTGATAGATTTGCTCATATCCTATACAAAATTCACAGACTCAGTTAATAATTTATGGTATTCGCATTAGAACATTAGTCCAAAGTGAAAAGTTGTTGACTATATTTTGTTATGACACCTCATTCCTTAAACCAATTCTATTCTGCCTTTTCACTTTTTGCTTCAAAAGTAATTCTTTTAGTAAGATGCACTTTTCTATGATATATATACATGCACAAATTTTTTTTTTTACTGTATACATCTCATACTAATTTTGTTTTCTATTCATTATTTCAGATCTTTGCAGCGTTGTCTCACAGACTGAGGCAAACAAAGAAGTGTAAGGTGTTGGCCATGCCTGGCAGTCAGCTGTTTGCCTTCTTCTGGGACCAGGTCTTGAGATGGTCGGGCTCTAAGGTGGAAATGTCCAACATCCAGACTGATCACACTCTGCCCCCGGTAAGAAAATGATGGCTGCCATTAGAAAAACGAGCAAATCCGATGTTGTTTTCTTATCTTTCCTGTAAAGAAGGGTCTTCCAGAGTAACTCACTCAGTTTCCTTGTGACCGCTATGAAAGATGTTTATTCTTTGTCTTCTTTTGAAAAAGAAAATTTGGGTCTGATGTATTTCATTATAAGCGAGGAAATATTATTGTCACAATTTAGAATAATCCACTGTTAGAGTTCAGCTTCAGTGTGATGTAAAAAATCTTTGATACAGTTTGCTTTGATTACAGTAAACTGATTTACAGATTAAATCTGGTCTCGGTTGTACATTTCAAAGGATTATTTTTGGAGTTTGGCAATGTTCCCTTTAATTCTTCTGCCTTTGCTGTTAAGTTCATGCTTTGTGGCTAAAATACGTGTGAGCTGGATTCATGTGAGACAATGATGTGTGTCTTTCCAGGAGTTCACCATGGCTGAGATCCTGTACCTGGTGGAAGAGCTGTTGTTCCGCATGAATGCCCTACTAGGCACGTCGGGCCTCCCAGACAAACACAACAGCTTCACAGACTCGGACTCCACGCCCAATGGTGGCGATGACGGGATCTCTAGTGGGGAGTCAGAGATGAGGGAGGAGGTCAGTGTTATAGGCTTGTCATGGGTTGAAATGATAAAAGAATAATGTATGTGTTTATTGGTTGTTGGCGGGTGCTCTGGTGCTTTTTTTTTCCTATCAAACATCTATCGTCTTTATCTCCCCTTTTTGTTTTTTGTGTTTGTTACTCTCTTGTAACACCTCTAATCTTCGGCACTTATATGACCTTGTTGTGTTGCAAGTGCCGTAAAACACTTACTAAAAAACTAAGAAGACCTCTCTAACCGATGCTTCTCTCGACCCTCTCAGTAACTTCTTTAGTTCTTTCTAGTTCACCATCTCCGTCTTCCTCTACGTTACGTATTCACACATTCCATACACTTCCGTACATGCTTAAATAAACACACACAGGCTGTAGAGGTGCATATACTTACTTTTATGCTTGATATACATATAATTCTTCATCCAAATTTCAATGTGAAAGTACTACTGACAGAAAAGTAAACACTCCTCTGCTAAACCTTTTTGCTCATCTTTTCCCCGTGACATTCTCCCCAGGAACACACCATCCACTCCGCCATCGCTGGCTCATTGTTCCCGGAGGGGGCACGTCTGGAGCACAGAGTACAGAAGATTGAGGACAAACTCTGCTCTAACGAGCCTTACCTGGCACAGCTTCTCAAGCTGGACAGCATCGGCGCGGATATCTTGTCTGAGGAGAAGGAGAAGGAGATACGGTGAGACGGGAATTTCAAAGGATGCTTGACTTGACTTGATTTTCATAATTGCAGGGGAGTCTGCTTACATCCAACATGGTTAATCCCAAAACAGTGGTAAACAGAAAGAAAATAACATCCAAAATTTTCTTTCCATTTATTTTGACAACCTGTCTAAAATGAAACTCAGCTAAATTGAAGATAATTTGGCATCTTGCGGATGTCAGTTTAAGCACATTCAACTGCATGTTTGTCAGTTCATAATGCATAACACAGAAGTGACTCTGTGACTCTTAACAGTCTTTTTTAGCTTGTTTTATTTGTATTATTACTGCCCTGAAGACAACCTCGGAAAGATTTTTTTGTACATAACTGTGGAGAGTCTTGAACATCTTTAAGGCAGACTTGCCCCATGAAGCGCTTTCAGCAAACTATTGTAGCAAATTATTTTCTGGAGGATGTAGAACAGTGATTTTTAGGAAGATTTTAGTGTTTCTTTTTAACATTCCTCATCTCTCTGCCTCAGTGATAAAGACAAGCCTGTAAAAATCATTTTCAAAGCTGTTACAATAAAGCCTACCAGACAAATATTTCAGTTTCTCATGTACGTAATTCATATGAACTTGATCTGCATCCTTACAAAATAGTCATTAACGCTTTGGAAATCTTTATTCCCCCAGGTCAAGGCTAGAGTTTGAAATTTTCCGCCAACTCCAAATGCAGAGGCAAGAGTCGTCTGTGTTTGATGTCAATGACCAGCCTTACGCTGCCTGCTCCGGCGCAGATCCTCTGGTTAATCTGGCGTTACCTCTGGGGAAAAATGCTGGACCAAACGGCCGTGATACGGCGTGTGAGCTGGGAGACAGCGCGCTACAAGAGCTGACCAGTAAGGTCCAGCAGCAGTGTGGTCTGGGGGCCAGGGCCAAAGAGAGCAGCCTGTCCTCAAGCAAGACCAGTCCAGAGTCTAGCTCCTCCGGCCAGGACTCCCCACAAGATCTGCGGCTTGTCCATGAGGCCGCTGCCTGCCCCCTGAGGCCAGTCCGTGATGGGGCCGTGGGTCCTGCCAGGCCGGCCCGGGATAGTTGTGCTAGTCACCCCAAGCCTGTCTTGTTGCTGCCTCCAAAGAGAAGTCAGAGCATGAAGGTGCCGGGGAAACAAGGCGGCCACTGTCCCCTCACAGACGGCATCAAAACCCACAAACAGTGGTTAGATCTCTCCACTACCAATGAAATGGCCCGAGAGGCCAGACTAAGGGCCAAGTTTCTCAAAGCTGGAGCAGTTAGTCTCCAGAGACCAAAGCTTTGTGATAAAAAGGACACATTGATTGGGAGTGTTTCTAGTCATGACAAACGACCAAAGAGTGATGTTCATGGCAAACAAGATTTTAGTCTTTTGAAGCGACCGAGTGTGAAAGGAAAAGATCCTCGATCAGAGAACCTTTCAAGAGGCAGAGAGAAAGACCAACGAAAAGTCGAGGCTGGCTTGTCAGTGGCCGCACCCACACTCCACCCATCATCGGGCAATGCAAGCCCACAGAGTTCTGAGAGTGAGCGCGGTCACCGACGTACAGATTCCTCGTCGGGTCAGTCTGGCCATGAGAAAAATGAGGCGGCTGCAGCAGCCAAAGTTGCCAGCAAACGGCCGGAGCTGCCTCCCAAACCCACGTTCAGCCACGGCGTTCTCCCACCCATAGAGATGGGCAAACCTCTGTCTGGCTGGAGCCCCAAGCCCAAGCCGTTTACTTTTATGCCAGAACTGATGAGCCCTATTGGAGCAGAGTCGAGTTCGGGCTCCGAGCCTGAGGCCACCTTGTCCAGCAAGCGAACAGCACAGGGCAGACGGAACTTGCGCAAGACCAAGTCTCGGGGTAAGGGAAAGGGGAATGAGGGGGGCATCTCCTCGCCCATGGTGCTTGCTGCAGACTTTGCCTCCAGCGGACAGAGTGGTGGCTCGGACTTTGACATCATCATCCACCCCATACCTTCTGGCATAGATCTGAATGACAACACAGTGCCTGAAGAATTGTTAGAGTAGTCACTTCAGGCCCAAAGAAACCCTGTGTCAGAGAAGTTATTTGAATAGTTGCTTTGAAGTAACAGATGTAAAGGGAATCAGTTATGTAGTCGTAATTTTTTTGGTGTCTGTTAAGGAAGAAAATCTCAACACCTTCATTCTAATTAGTTTTATAGTTAACATGTATGCTGGAAACTAATAATTCAGTATAGCTGTTTTATAAATAAAATTGAAATGCTTACTGGAGCATAAGAGAATTGTTGTTATGTAACGAAAGAATGTTTCACCTCAGCTGATATCTTAAACCAAAAAAAAGTTTGTACTTGTGTTTTTGAGTGCTTGATGAGTTGATGAATTTGTTTTTGTGACTGTACTGTCCAGTGCAGTTTGTTTTGCCATGCTCTGTACGGCTGTGGTGTCACAGACAGCTTTTCTGTGAGGCAGGTTGTAGCTGTGAGTTTGGTGACCGCTCAAAAGCATGATCTGAACCAGCGCAGCCGTGCCTCCCAGTAGACTGTTTGTGGCGTGTGCCACAGTTAACGGTAGGGAGGGCCAATTTGTAGCCGACCGTCTTCTGATGCCTGATTGGTTTGTTTTGCCATGTTGTGTTGGAGAATGCTTGGCCTATGAATTCACTCTCCAGCCATGAATTGCTCATATGCCCACAAGGCATACCAACTATGCTCTGTTGATTTCAAAAGGTGCTATATATTTTATGACATAACCTGTTAATTTTTTTGTATACAATGATTGAATGCATGTTTCTTGTTTGAATTGTTGCAAACTTGTAAAGTTTTTTGGGACAGAAGTACATATCTCAAAATTTATAAGTCGATACTTGTAGGGGCAGATGATCTTTAAGAACTTATATAAAACCTTATAGGGTAAAACAATCTTTCTGTGGGCATTGAACATTTGAACCTTAACAGCAGAGAGATGCTTCTTTTCTTATGTGAATACATCTGTAAGGACACCAAGCCTGAAGAGAGCATCTGGGATAACAGCCTCAAATTTCTGTGCTCTCCCAATGTCCTGTGAGAGTCTGTCTGATGGAGCGGAGATGCACATCTCTTTCTCTTGTGCCAAGTGTCAAGGCATGCTGTTATGTTCCTTAGAAAAAGAGAAAGAAATGTTTTTAGCGAAAAAGCAAAGGTGATTTTTTAGAATAGATTTCTGATGAAGCTAAGATAACTGTATTTTGTTCTTTTTGAGATACAAAAATTAAGTGTTAGTTCTTTTGTTTTTGACTGACGGTTGACTTTTATGTGTGAAGGAGATTTACATCTATAACACTGCACGTATGATTTCAAAAGGTGCTCTCCGTACTTACCGTTTACGATCATGTGATAATATATTCACCACTGTGGTATGTATTTTAGTGAATAATTTATGCAAAGTGTTTAGTAATTACATTGTAAAACTACCATCTTCCAGTCTACCATTATTTGTATCGTTTGTTCGGGAAAAAGTGATCTTGCAAAACTGTTCAAAGTGTGATTGAGGGAGTATGGTTTTGTATGCTCTCTTCCTTCTTTCTCACTCAGTTTCTATTGTTGTTGATTAATGAGAGAGAGGGAAGGAGAGTGAGAGAGAGTGAGAGAGAGAGAGATTGGGAGACAAATGAGGGTAAGAGGGATGGAGAGAGAGTGAAAGATAAGGAGAGAGAGATGGAATAAATGTGTTTTTACTCACTGCCACAGCCTGAGGCTGTTCTCATCATTAAAGTACGCAATAAACTGTTACATCATGCAACTTGATCTCAAAATGAGTTGTTATTTTTACTTTTATGTTTCTGGTTGATTGGTGTGTTTGTTTGTGTTCGTCAAATTTGAATGTTCTGAAGGACTCAAGAGTTGGCCATATTCTTACCCCTAAAGACGTTAACAACTGGCGTCTGTGATGTAGCATTTAGGTAGGGTTTTTTTTGTAGAGGTTTTACGGTGCTCGCAACTTCTTGTAGCAATTAAGCACTTCGCTTTTTGCAGGCAGAAGATCTGAGTTTGATTCCCGTTGGGGCGAATTTTAATAGAGTATCTCAATCTTTCTATTGGGACGTTGTGTACCCTCAGTCTGAGTTGATTCTGACAGGCAGGGCCGATGCCCACCTCCTCAATGACCTAAACTTTGTCCATTGGGCTGGGCTAATACTTATAAACACTTACTGGTACATTGAAATTATTGAAAAACTACTCTCAAGTTTTTAAAAAGATCAAGAACAGTGGGTGCTTGGTGCATGCTCTGGTGTGGTTTGCTCCTTCTTTTCTATCAAACATCTTATCGTCCTGACCTCTCCTTCTTCTTTTTTGTGTTTGTTCTCTTGTAACACCTCTAATCTTCTACACTTATATGACATTATTGTGTTGCAAATGCTGTAAAACTCTTACTAAAACTAAGATCAAGAACCTAGCATCTCTTGCTGAAATAGGTAATGTATAAAGAAAACTAAGCACTTGCCACTTGTCCTCCCACCCAATAAGACAGACAATGGGATCCCTTGCCCTCCCACACAATAAGACAGACAATGGGATCACTTGCCCTCCCACCCAATAAGACAGACAATGGGATCACGTGCCCTCCCACCCAATAAGACATGGACTATAGGATCACTTGCCCTCCCACCCAATAAGACATGGACTATGGGATCACTTGCCCTCCGACTTGCTTGATCTACTACATGTACCGTGGGTGGCTGGCGGGTGCTGTGGTGTGGCTTGCTCCTTCTTCCCTATCAAGCATCTATCGTCTTCTTCTCTCCCCTTCTTTTTTGTGTTTACTTTACTTTACTTGGTTGGAGAATAGGAATCATTGCAGGCGGCACAATGCTCCTCCCTCCTCTCCAGGATCCATGAAAGGGTCTGCCTGCTGATCGTGCCAATTAACAGCTGTGTGGATATTCTTCTGGCTTTTCCACGCAGGTTGCTGTCTCTTCCCGACCCTCAAGAAACACCAGCTTCCCTTAGTCTATCCATTGTGTGTGAAATGGTGCCTTCATCCTCTATGTGGTCTTTGAACCATGCTGTCACTGCTGCCAAGACTGTTGGTGGATCTAATTGTGTTTGCTACTCTCTTGTAACATCTCTAATCTTCGGCTCTTAAATAGCCTTATTGTGTTGCTAGTGTTGTAAACCTTTTACTAAAATGAAAACTGACCCACTAATCACGTACTAGTGACTATGCCTCCACTTTAGATCTTACTAGACCAACTACATGCATACTGGGTCTCCACTCTGAGTAGGGCCAACATGGGGACAGCTGTGACGTCATATGTTGAAGACAATTTTAACCCTGTCCGTACGCCCTGGGGTCATTTTGTACCCCTGGGGTTGTATTCTTCACATTTTAGAATACTTCAAGTACAAAAATCTCTTTGAAATTTTCAGTATTTCTCAAAAAATCATTTTGATCGACTGCTATGCAAAAAAGCGCACGGATCGCATCATCGAGTAAAATTCCTCTTTGGAAAGTGGTGGCACAGAGTTCCCCACCTCGTATGGATACGATAGTAAAACACGACTTAGGCCTACTGAAAGGGCTAATCTACATCTATTTTAAAAAGCGAGACCCCAACTAGAATTTTCGTTGAATTAACGTTAGGCTGAGATGAATATGACCGTGGTTCAAATCCCCAATGGGGCCTTACTTATTTCTTTAAAAATCTGGCTTTTCGTCATTTGGCTAAATCCAATCGTAGGTCCTGCTTTTTAAATAATTCTAATTATGATTTCGAACCTTTGCCTTCGGCATGCTGCACAACAGCAGGCCCTTGCCTGAGTTTGCTCTGTTTCACTACAGGGTACAAAGACTCATCTTGAAAGATCTGAAGAGCCCCATGGCAAAATGCACTCTTTACCACAAAACTGAAAAAAACAACTCACACTTTTGTTCTGAAAACAAAAGTAAGAACGAAACGCAATTTTATAATACTAAACTAATGTCGAGGGGGAATGCACTGCATTTTGAGGAAAAATAATATCTTGACCAGAGAACAATTTCAGGAAGCACAACCCCATAACCCTTCCATTGCGAGCTGGCATGTTCTGTTCTTTCTGCTGCTTTGTCCTCTCTACATCTCTTCCTGTCAGAATGTTGCCTCTGTTGAGCTGAATCAAAAGAGATGAAATTGCTTTCATCATCGTCGCTATCACCGTTGAAAAGAGACTTTGGAAGGTTTCAAACCGCTCGATGTAAATAACTTGGATGAAATATTTCCTTTTTTTTGGTGTAAAAGTTGCTTTAAAAGTTCCCACAGGAATGACATCCTCATTATTTTCATCATCATCATCATCATCATCATCATCATCATCATCATCATCATCATCATCATCATCATCATCATCATCATCATCATCATCATCACCACGTCCATCTTTCGATGCCAGATGTATTATTCCACCATCACAGGTCTCTACAAATTCTCAGCGTTAGATATTTTTTCTCTCTCCATAATGCTACGGAACATTCAATGTTTCGTAAAGATTTTGTATTTAACTTCCACTGACCAGCAGTGAGCTAAAAAAAAAAAAAAGAAAAAAAAAAGAATCAGAGCAGAAAAATAAAGATAAGAAACCAAAGGAGAGAAATAAAAAGGACACAAAGTAACTGTAACCCGTCTACAATTCAACAACTGTCCTTTGTTCTCTCGCTGTCAGCTTTTGTCTGACAGCTAATACCACCACTCTGCTCTTTGTGACTTTGTCTCTCTATTATTTATTAAGTATGACAAGCGCTCTTTGCCTGGTCTTGGTTCTGATACCTTTGGCTATGTCTCAGAGCGACGTGGTAGTGTAGTAGTAGTAGTAGTAGTAGTAGTAGTAGTAGTAGTAGTAGTAGTAGTAGTAGTAGTAGTAGTAGTAGTAGTAGTAGCTACGCTACAGCGCTTCGTGGTGTGTAGGTCCCGGGTTCGAATCCTATAAGACTCTTTACGGGATTTCTCACTGGTTGATTGATTCTAAAAATACTGTGCCCTATCACAATCGGCCATTAATGGGGGGGGGGGGGGGGGGTGCTGGTTTATAAACCCATCTCGGTAACTATGGCCGTTTTAGATAAAGCCTTATAGCAAGGAGGTATAACAGGAAAGCATATGTAAAATGTAACTTTGTTTGTTTGTTTGTTTAAACATACGGTTGCCATGGTAACGGCCGCCATATTGATAAAAAACAGCTTTCATAAAAGTAAACAGGATTTTTAATTTACCAACACATTGATAGATATACGCAATACAAAATTTCATACAGTTGGAATCTTGGATATCTTGAATAGGAAAAAAGTTAGAGATGGATAACTGACCTACCCCCTCATGTCTCTGAATTCGATTACATTATTGATCCATGCACCTCACTCACGAAAGCATCGATTTTATTTTCCACCAGTATAAAGTTAGGTTATGGTATGAATAACAAGTCCTGAAAATTTCATTGGAATAAAAAATAACATAAAAAAGTAGATGAGAAAAAAAAATCAAAAATTGATGTTTTGAGAAAAAACGACATTCAGTTACATAATAGTAAAAAATGAAAGTTCTTGGAGAGAAAATCTGAAAGATGATGATTGTAACACAAAGAATAAGCACTTTTCAGATTTACAAGTGATTGGAGTATTATAATACGTAAAAAATTCGGAGACCATAAATTGACACAAAATGGTCAATTAAAAAAACCTGTCCCCCCTCAACAATGCCGAACTGAGTGGAAATGGACGTGATTCTTAAAGTCTAGACAGAAGGAATAATATATCTGGTCTCTTTTGATCATCATTAGAAAAGGATAGAATAATGATACGTAGGGTGAGGATGGAGGGTCATCGTGAAAGTGGGGTTTTTTTTAGGGGGTGGGGGTATTTATTGATATATTGATCATTTGATTTGTGTATATTTAACTATAATATGTGAGGCAGCGTGGTGGAATCAGGCTCTCGTCAAAATAATCAAAGAGAAGAAACTTGCATTTTTCAGCAGGTTTGTGTATTTTCCTAACTTTTTTGTTTTTTGGCTCAATACCTTTCATGCCCAATAAAAAACTCATTTCTGTGTAGATTTTTCTGAAAAACTTTGATTAAAGGCACAAAAACTGAAAATTTTCAGTTACCACGGACTCTTAAGCTAAGGAAATAAGAAATCTTTGGCGACCATTTTCTAATTAATTTTACCTCTGAAAACAGGTGACCCCCACCTCCTTCATTCGCAAATATCTCGACTTGTATTCAAGATAAATGAATATTTTTTTCACCCAAATAAAGACAAGTGAACAAGCTTTAAGATGAAACCAATAATTCTACATGGCCAAAAATTGACGAGAGCCCGATTCCACCACGTTGCCTCACATCCTGTACGTGATTAATGTTTATTGATTTTTCTTATTTACATTATATTTATGTTTTTGTGTTATTCACATATTATA